AATCTCTCACGTTTAAAACTAGTATTTATCAAGAACAATGAGAGTTTACCGTGTACACACGAATATACATTACACCCACTAATGTCATCTAGGCTATTTACTGCCCCAAAAGTGATTGTTCCATCATCCTCCTTGGATGGAGTTTCATAAATGCTCGGCAAATGGTAGGTAGAATAAATCAGTCTTTGGAGAAATCAATTAATATCTCAATATTTGAGGGATAAGAGAAAAAAAAGGAAGAAGAGCTTAGAAAAATGGGGGGTGGCTAGCCACCCTATTCACCCCCCCTAGATCCGCCCCTGAGTAGGCCGGGATCAAACATCGGTCTTAAAAAAGCTATTTTTATTTACGAGGAGGGAAAAATATAAAAATGCCTTTAAAAATCAATCTTTATTCATTAAACTGTTTATACTTATTAAAGAAAAAAGAAAAGAAAGAGAAAGTCTTGAAAAGTCTCCAGAAATGAAGTAGAAAAAAATTACGGCTTCATGAGGGCTCGAACCGCGAACCACGCAATTAATACTTTGACAGCGCCGTGAAAGCAACACAACTGTTGAGCCTGGGTCCCCTGTGAAAAAAAGAGAGCTCAAAGTGGACATTTTCCTATGTTTGTAAGCTCACCAAAAATTCGCTTTTTTATAAAAATGAAAAAGTCTTTCACAGATACGTTTCCATTAACCTCAATTTTCATTTTAAAGATTAAAAAAAAATCGTGAAGGTGCACTAAATAATCTTTCTTTTCTATATTGCAATTGGAGCTCCGCTATTAGGTGTTAGATACTTTTTATATTGCTYGTGCTTATAAGAATTTTTCTCGCGATTTCCCTGTGTCTATACCATATGGCGAATCGTCTCGAATTGCCCWTCAATTAATAAATCAATAATGCAGTCATYCGAAAGAAGAAGTATAGAAACTCCTCGTCATGAATTAYCACTAACCCATGCCACTTAACAGAAATAACATTTTCGAGTTTATTTTAMMTGCTTTTCTTAGAAACCTGTGCGACTTTTGRAAAAACAAAACTTTATCCGAAAGAGATGAAATAATAAGTAAGCGGAGCCTATTCGTCTGGCTACAGGCACGAATAAATGCAYATTTCTCTTTTGATCAGATGACCAGTCTATCAAACTTGTCAGTCAATGAAAGAATTAAAATKYCCGAAAAAGATGTAATAGTCTATTGAACAGGAAGCGAAAACCAGTACTKTTTTTCTGCTGTACATTCTTTTCGGACCCGAACGAGCTTCAAACAGAATCAACCAGACATCATGGTTATCATGATATGGACTTCTGAATATATATGGTTTCAAAATCTGTACACGCTTGGTATTTAAACTTAGAATTAATTTATGAAAATATCTAGGTTTCGCTTTAGTCAACATTCCAAGGACGTCACGTAGTTCCAGTAATTTGACAAACATGTCCGAACGTATTTGATCGCTTACARTGCGCACCTTGACACTATCAAACTATCTGTGCAGTCGTATCCTAATATTTTGCAATAGAGTGAAACGACTGGTGATGTTAGCAGCGGGTACAGATACTTGAACAGCATTTAGGCAATTTAGGCTTAAATAATAGTTGCAAATATTTTTTGTCATAATTATGGTACGTTTTTTTGGCTTGTCAAAATAGAAGTCCTATCTAAAAGTCTGGGATGGGTATCCTTTTTAACATTTTTTCTGGGACAAGATTTTTTTCTCGGACAGGGGGTTAACATCTGGTAGTTATAATCAGAATAGAATTGGTTGGTTTTAGTTCGAACTAAGCTGCGATTTCAGTCGACACAGAAACTATAAAAGTTCCGTTTAAAAGTTAGCAAAATGGGKTGTATAATTCAGTTTAGGTTTAGTCTGAKGTAAGGTATGAAAAATCAAAATTTCAGATCTGGGATAGGGCAGGGATTTGAGTTCCTTGCGGCACGCCCCTGCTCAAGTTGATATGGTAGCACAACTCTCCTCCTATGGCGTAGTGTTGCTTGAAAACTATTCTGTGCATATTTGTGGGATAATTTTCGCTGTGAGAAAGGAAGACGCGTTCCTCAAATCCTCGWAAATCAAACTTGTGATTTCGGGACATCTCAAGGAAAGCGGAAATACCTGAGACTAACGAGATAAACAGATGATAATCGGACATATTGTTGCGACCACCTAACAACAACATTATAGAAATAGCACAAATGTTATTTTTTGATTATATTGTATTGGCTAACGTATAGAGTTTATTCAAAGCTACAATTGTAGCTTGTTACAAGTTACGCAAAGGAAACCGTTCATAGATAATTGACGTCTAAGGGCAGCCACTCCGACGCTTTTTGACCTATACAGTAACCTTCTGAAATTGTCCTTTTCTAAGAAAATATTTTRCTTGCATTTCAATTGAAGTTATTGCGTAAAACAATTGCATCAACCAAACCGGCTGTCACTTACATCTTTCACTGTTCAATCAACCGATTTCTATCAATAAGTTAGTCTCCTTCACTCCTGCCTCACGTTGAGCGCATGGGGAGCAGTGGGACGGCACGYCTGACCAGTAAGAAACTGCTTTGTTTCCAAAAGAGACGACATAATCTTATTCGAATAGTTGAAAAGCAGGATAAAGAACTGATATAAAATTTCAAATGTTTACAAGTGCACATGTATAGTAGAACACTATATAACCTGAGTATCAGGCCTTCATAAGGTACCTGGGGAGAGGGAGAGGGGAAAAATCTGCCCTTTCTTTTAACCCCTATTTTTTTATTATTTTTTTTTTTTATCGATGCTCAGGTTAGAACATGATCTGCAGAAAAGTGATCAATAATTCTACAAAAAACCGAAAACTATTTGAGTCAACGACTACATGGGATATTCGTTTGTGACGAGAAACGATAATTGATGAGTTATGAGTATTTTTTAAAGGTTGCCTTCTCTCCAATAACACATCTCTCACGAGATAAATACAGCTTTTTACTTGATGATAATCTCTTTAAATATCTTTAATCTATGGAAGATGATTCAATAAATTTTTTTTTTTGCTAAATAATATTTTGATATATTAAGAATATACAGTGATGAATGTTAGCTCATTTTGCAGAAATCATTGATATGTTTGTTCATACTTTGTAAGGCATATCTTTGCGTAATTATAGTATTTTAACTGAATTCCTTTATTGTACGGGAATTTTACTTTATAGATTCAGTTTGCATTCTTTATGTATCAATTTGGTAATGGAAGGATTAAAGATGTTATTATTATTATCTTTCACGAGATTGCTSATAGAGGTACGAATGTACCGGGGGATAACAGTAAAAACGAATGTAAAACCCATGTAAAAACGAGGCAACATCGGTCTGCGTTACACCCSACGTTTGGCCGTAGACAAAGTTATTACGGAGAATTAACCGGATCACGCAGTCTACCTTACGATAATACAATATATCAACGAGGATTGTACCTTTACAAAGCACAGTATTGCACATATAGACGTCAGCAGTCTTTGAATATTCATCCTTCGCTCAAAGACTTCCGTCAACCTGCTCGGATTATATATGTTGTCCGTGCAAATTACCGCGACTTCTGACTTGTACTTGATTGCACTAAAAGATCTCTTACTTTCTAGCCAATCGGCAATTGGCGCTTATGTTATGTTATTCAATAGTTACGGCTCTTAGYACTGACCGAGCTTGGGGTCGTGTTTCCGGTTTTSTAATCTTTTCAAACTTTTATGTATGTCGAAATTCAGYCTTGCTAATCGCTAATTATATTTTTTGTTATGATTCTTTAATCTTTCACTGCTTGGATAGCATTGAAGTAATCCTCAATGTACATCTAATAGAATCGATGTTTCCTTTGGGAAATACTTTCTGCTTATTTGAGATGAACAGACGTGCCAGTATTACGAAACTTTGAGTGTAAAACGGTTTGAAAGCTTGATAATGACGATAATCCAAGGCCAAAGGATAAAGTATTGACTACCTTACACATTCCATTCTTTTTAAAAAAATACCCGGAAAAAATACTACCTATACCATGTAATGGACTACAGACATTAGTTGGTTGGAAGTCTSGTCATTTCAACGCTAAGCAGGAGTCTCCCTCGGGCGATGAAACCTGATCATGTGCAATAGTTTCAAGGCCATCCGATAATTTTTCAGGAGCCCATCATGGGCTCGTGAATTTGTTTAATGATTCCACAACGAATTCGAAGTTGGATTGTTCTCAGAGATAATGAGATGTCGTTATTTTGGTCAAGTTAGCTCTTAAAACTGGAGCGCTGAGATCCTGGGCAATTATTGAGTTAAAAAGGAAAAGAGTTCCACCCATTAGGATTGAAGATAACGTGRACGCCAAAGGAATAATCGATAAGGAATCTATGAAAGGATGAAAAAAAAAAACTTAATAAAGAATGAAACAATCATTGAATGAATTAATTTGAAGGGGATTACTGCGACAGATAGCAGAATAAAAATTAAGGATTAWTGTATTAGCCTACATTTTTGAGAGCCCTGCCTCCCCCTAAGGGTGACTGATTCAACTGCAAAATTCGACGAAGATATTTAGGCTAGTTTTTACTGTCATTCAAGTCAATATTTCTACTGTACAGAAAAAAAGTTAATTTTTGATGTCATCATTTACGTAATGTTACCACGTTAAGGAGTTTCCATCGGCTTTTCAGTCTGAAACAATAGCAGGAAATATTGACGGCAAATTTATTTTTCATTCTTTGATCACTTGATATACAATGTCTTTTGRCGACACATAAAATACAAAGTCACCAGGTGAGTACTGTGGTCAGAAATATTATTCCTTCGAATTCAACGACGTTTTCCACTCCACCATCCTCCTCCRCCTCCACCTCCTCCACCGCCTCCACTGCCTCCCTTGCAGTAACTTCCTTTATCGAAGTTTCCTCTCTCTACGTTCTGTCGATACTGCCCTCGATAGTTGCCTGCACGACGATAGCGACCTACTACATAGGTGCATCGACCTCTTGAAGCCTTGCCAATACCAAGTTCTGTGCTTCCTTTCCAGACCACTTGCGTGAAATGACCGGTTCGTCCACTGAAGCCTCCGCTGCTGAAGTTGTAGTCACAAACCTCTTTGTACCTGAAAAGATCCAATCTCTTATAATGTGACTWATCTCTAATATTATGAATTACAGTTTATAAAAATCATTATAGATTATAGAAGTTTGTCCTTCATTATCTSAATCAATTAATACCTACCACATTTCAGTGGCTGCTGAAGCAGTTAACGGCCTCCCACATGACATGGCGAGGTTTTCACCATCCCTGCTGTTTGAATGCTGTAGAGATCCCATTTGAGCCAATTTTGCAGCATAAGCTTCGGCTTCRCGTGTCATCTGAGAATTAAGCGTCATAGCAGGAGCATTGTGGATGCGACGGTATTCGTTATGTTTGYTTAAACCTGAAAAACAGAAGATATGGAAAGGTAGAGTGGACACATTAAATCCGAAAAATATASTACTTCTAGAATAGTGTAATATCCATTTCGTGGGTTTTTTTTACTTCACCATAAAAAAGCTGTATACGCGGTTAGCAGTTATTTGTTTTCTGCATACTTCATAGGGATTTTTTRATAAGGTGACAAGCATTAAAAAATAAAAATAAAATAAAAATTCTCAATGYATGTTGTTGTTTGTGTGGTTACTTTCGTAGTTCAAAAACTCACACATAATTAGTGAGTTATTAGTCCAATAGAATGAGGCTATTTGGCCACATGCATGGGCCTTAATATCTGATAAAGAATACTAATAAAGGGACTCCCTTATTAAAAAGGGCGGGGGTCCTCGTCGGAAATTCTGAAAATGACACCTAAAAGGGACCTGTATTGTGAGATGAATTTATATTAAAGGCTTATTTTTACGGCAAATTCTCCAAGAATTTTAACGGATATGAGTTTCAAATTCGTGTTGGAGTTTTTGAAGCCGTTTAAAACACTCCAGATCCTGTTTTATCAGATATAAAGATTCAAGCCGAGGCTCAAATCTCTATACCTGATAAAACACTCTCGCGCGCGCGTTTTAAATTATACATAAGAGTAGAACGAAACTGTGAAATAGACGTTACATTATCACATACTTTTATGGAAAACGTTGAATTTGTGTATATTCTCAATTGACAATAGGTCTATCATTCGCAAGCAATAATGACAATAGATAATATCTAAATAATGAGTACATCCTTAAATAAACAAGCTATTATAACTGATCTTCAAACCTTCTTGAGCGTAAGAACTGCCTTCACCACTGCCACCACTGCCACCACTTCCGCCACTTCCGCCACTTCCGCCACTACCCCCACTACCTCCGCTTCCTCCTCCTGTGCAGAACTTGCAAGCTTTTTGGCAATTCTTTCTCATATAGTTTTCGTGACTTTTACAATAGTTATTCTTTGACCAGTATTCACAATGTTGGTGATTGTCTACGCATGTCGCTGTTGATCCCACAACACAAATAACAACAGTTTTCAGGGATATGTAGCTAACTAGCATAGCTTAAGGTCATTTTAAAAGTGCTGCCGTAACTGTGTAATTACATCTTATTTGATTTTTTTTTCATTTTTTTTCTCTTTTTTCAGTTACGGGATAAGGACGTCTTTAGATTGTTTTATGATTTTCTAATCAGCTCACACGTATATTGAGAGCCACCACATTTTTTTGCCCGCCCCATTTTTTTTCATGCACACACAGCCTGCACTTTTGCCGTTCAGTGGGTGCCTAATTTATTTTTGAAACCAATCACTCTCTTATTAAACATGCTAAATTGGTAGGGTCGATAAAAAAATAAGAATCTCTCGTACCTTCTAGGGTCTTGGGCTGACACTACACAGGGCTAGCAACACGTAACTTTTAGGGTCTCAAATCGCCACCCGAGTTAATTTCTGCGCATGCGTACCTTTTATTTTCATTTCAAACCCGATCGCCGGGCACCCTTAGAACAGGGAAGAGCTCACGTCCATGGGTCTAAGGGGTTCCTCAAGCGAAGGTTATATTATACCTTCATTCATATTCTTARTATTGATAGTAGGTTTGATATTGATCAGGGAGGACCTCTAAAGCAGCTACCTTTTTCGGTATCCCGGTACGCTTACCCGGTGGCTCAGGCGTTGACGGCGGTGGTGGTGGTGGCGGTGCATTCGTGGACGGAGGATTGCCGCCGCAAGGCTCCCCTTTGTTTCTGCAATAGCTATTCTTATCGAAGCAGCCCTGAGCGACATTTCTCCCAAAGCTACCCATCATATTGCCAGCAGCTCTGTAGCGACCCACGATATAGTAGCACTTTCCATATCGTCCGTCTTTTGAGGCAACACCAATACCAAGCTCAGTACTTCCTTTCCAGACAATCTGGGTAAAGTGGCCAGTACCACTTATATATCTTGGGTTTCTAAAGTCGTATTTACAAACTTCTTTGTACCTGCGAACAAAGCAAGTTTTAAACTTTGATCAGAGTTAGTAGAGGGGAACAAACATCCCCTCTATACTAACTCTGCAAGCAATATTAATTGCAATAGATTTGGCCTTCATGTACATCGCAACTATCACCGATTCCGGAGTTCTTTACGTTTGACAACACTCGAACGTTTTAATACCAAATTGTTTGAAATTTGTTCAATGTTCTAAGTAAAGCCTATAAAGAATATTTTGAAGTTGCAGCTAGGATGTTGCATGATAAAGAAAATTGAGTTGTCTCTAGTCTTGTTTGTGTAGTTTATAAATCTCAATAAAAATGAAACCAAAGAATGTCTTCGTGATTTTTATGCCTGTTTTATATATTGTATGCATATTCATTATTCAAATGTATTT